ACATAGAGTGTTTTTTGGCTAGTGATAAGGTGCACCTAAATCCGTTAGGCAATTCTGTATTCTTAAACAACATACAGGGGGGTCTTGAATATTTTAACAGTGGGTGTGGGTCAGTATTTCCTGACACCCACTGTTAAGAGGGGTGGTTACCATTACATGTTGGTCGTGGGTCAGTTGAATGGGGCTCCCCATGTGTGGGGTGACCTTAAACTTTTAAGTTTTAGGTCATGTGGCATTTGCGCCCATCCATTCAACTGATGTTTCAACCTTGTGCATCTGACTGTGTATGATATTTTGAAGACATTGAACTGTGAACATTGGCTTGATATTTTATAATGTAAATACATTAACAATTTATTTCATTGTTCGCGGTCAACCCGGAACAAACAAATGCTGCTTGATTGTGCTGCTTATTTTATGCTTGTTGTTGCTATATTTGAATTTATTCAAAACTTTTTTATAATTAAAAAACATTAATAAGCTTAAAGGTAAATGACTGTTTGCGGTAAACCTGGAACAGCCAAATAATTGATTTGCTTTGTATTATGTTGTTGCTTGAATTTTGGGTCTGCCCTGCTTGGCGACCCTTTGCTGCTTATACATGTATATTATGCCACGACCAACAACGCCAAACAATAAATGTTTAAATATAAATATTACTGTTTTTCATTTCCTCTATATAGATAACGAGATACTAACTCGTTATAACGAGTTAGCTATCTCGTAATTATCTCGTTATAACGAGATACTTACTCGTTATAACGAGATAATTATCTCGTTATAACGAGATAATTATCTCGTTATAACGAGATACTAACTCGTTATAGCGAGATAGCTAACTCGTTATGACGAGATACTAACTCATTATAACGAGATAGTTAACTCGTTATAACGAGATACCAACTCGTTATAATGAGATAACTATCTCGTTTTAACGAGTTAATTATTTTTTATCTTGTCAAAAATGAGGCTATCCGGCTTTCGTACTTTCTTCCTTTTTTTTCTCTTGTTTCATTCTTTTTACACAAATCCAAAACGACAGTTTAAGGGAAAGATTTTATGTAAGGAAAATCGATCTGATTTAGAACCTCCTATATACTGCTTACAGACTTCACTCCACTCCACTCTAGTCCACTCCACTCCACTCAGCATTTTATCCCAGACAGTTATCTCGGCATTTTACATCCTTAATCACAACTGATTAATAAAATAAAACTGCTTAAGGAGGTTGGATCCTGACATCAAAAGTAATGAGAATTTTTTATCAAGTATATTTTTAGAATTTATACACATAGCTTAATTAAAAATCAAAACAAAAAACTGGGGTCAATGCGCTTCTTTTGGCGCTACAGAGCATTGAGTTTGACCTTTTTGCACTGTAAAAACGTCTTACACATAAATCAATTTTTAAAGTTTTTCCTCCGATATTTTTATTCAAATAAGTTATGGGAACAAACACAGTTTTATTTCATCTTGAATAGACCCATTAAAATTTTTGACAACGAAAAAATTTTTTAAATTACTCTGCACGTTCAATTATTTGACCTTTTTGCACTCAAAAAATTTCATTTTGCTAGCATTACAAATTTAACAAGCAAAAAACTCATTTAAAAGTAATGACATTTTACTGAATTTAAGAAGAATGACTAAAAGTATCTTGTATATTCAGAAAAGAAAGTTAAAAGTGGGGGTCAGTGATGTTAATTTTTAGATATTACTAAAATAGTGCTAATTTTGAGCTTAAATTAGGGCTATTTTTTCTCTTGATTTTCACAATATATTTGATTTATTTATCAAATATGATGATTGAATTCATGACAGTTTATTAAATATATAATTTAGGACCAGTATAAATCAGTTCACTGCTCAAAATAATTCTGTGTGCAGACTGCATGTAAAAATAGGAATCCAAACTTAACATACTTTAAATACTTCGAAAGAGAAAAAATGATCATTTTCTTCTAAAAAACCTTCCGCCACAAAATATAGTTCCTCACTTAATGCTTTTAGTAGGGGATTTAATCATGGAGTTTTAACTGAATATAGTTTATTTGGCATTGTAGAATCCAAATTTATTGTAAGAATTAAAACATTACGCAGATTTTTTTTAAATATAGGTTGAAATAAAAATCTGCTCAAAAGCTCAGGAGCGAACCTCGTTAAGGTGATTCGAACCTGTCGTGAAAGTAATTGGAAAATTAAAAGATAGGTACCCTCAGATAGAAGACAAGTTTGTGGTTTAGGAATCATCAAATTTGATATATGCTAATGTGTTCGTTTCCATGGCAACAACCTTTGAATATGCCCTTGTTTAAAAATGTAAAAGCTGTGAAAAAATCCCATTGCCATTAAAGAAAATAACAAAAAACTCACAAATTATTATCAGAATTTATTTACTTGGAAATATATAATAGGGTTGCAGATTAACTTCATTTTGTCATTCTTTATACATAGATATAACATTCAAACAGCACTCTATGGCAGTCTGAATTTCCTCTGTCTTCTTAAAAATTGCTCATTTTTTCTTAACCTTGACAACAAAAACGGTTATAAAATCGCACTAAAAGTAATTGGATATTTATTTTTTTTAACTCCATTTTAAAAAAGAGATGTATAGCTAAGTAACAAAGGGGAATAATTGGTATGTTCATGAGTCAGATAAAAAGATATGTTAATCCGAATTTTCTCCGACCTTTTTTAAAAAATTACCCTGAAGCACATATATCTGCAGTGGAGGCTACAAAATCAATCAGAGGTAATAAATTTTCCATTCAATTAGTGAATTATATTCAAAACAAACTTGAAATCAAAATTTTGAAGGACAATTAATGTAAAATTTGAAGAATTTTGAAACTTGCATTCTGAATTTCCTATGTTTTTTTTTCAAAACTTGAACTTTCAAATTGATTGTTGGTGAATAAAACAGATCATCTAATATCATGATATATATATTTTTATAATTTTTTTAAGGTGTGATATGTATACCTAAATAAGAAAATAATCCTGGCATATATACACAGTTAAGGTGAAAAAAAAGTGCACATTTATCATCTGAATTTCCTCTGACTTTTTTAAAATAACAAACATATGATGTACAATATTCGTCTAAAGGAGATGGGTGAACATGACGAGCGATAAGCCTATAGTGTGACAAACATGAAGATGAAAAATTAAATTTCAATTATATAAAAATTTTCCTTGATATTTCGTCTAACATTAAAATATACTTTATGTAAAATCACTACAATTTGCAAAAATCCCCTAAAGAGTGAAATTATTTGCCTGTGAAATATTAGACACACACCAAAGCGAGCAAAAAGAGTCATTTTCTCATACTATAACACTATTTTTCAATATGAGTGGGCCTTCGCTCCACCTTTTTGAAAGTTAATCCTCAAAGTTTGCATAAAAATATACATTTTTTGGTTATCAAAAATATGGAGCAATGACCCACTATACCTTAAAAATATACTTTTATGACATAACATTCGTATCTTTTCGAGAAATACTTGAAGTCCATTAAGTCAAGGTTCATATCACAAACATGATTTAAATGCCACTCTTCATCAGGACTTGTGTAGTCTAGTGGTTAGCGTGCTAGTCTCAAAAGAAAATGAAACTCAGGGTTTTTATTGCTAGGATTCGAACCCCAGAAATACCACATTAATTTTTTTTTTAATAAAAGAATAAATTTTGCCGAGAAAATTGTCCTCAGAAAAGTTTTGTTCATCATAATTTCATGAATTTCAATAATGAGACAATAATAATTGTCAAAATTCACAAACTGAACATGATTTATGTATATCTGAAGCTCTAGGCTTTCTGCACGCTATGTTCGCCCATCTCCTTACAAAAAAAAAAAAAAAAAAAAAAAAATCCCTGTGACCAATCTTTCCTAAAATTCAAAATATGTAGGAATATGGAACGTAAATTCTCTAAATATTATAAACATGGGACCCATTTTATAAGTCATTGACAAATATGCATTTTTGTGATACAGTGTAGGAAATCTCAGCTGTGTAAATAAATTAAATATTGTTTGAAAAACACAAGTACACTGTACAAAATATGGCAACTAGTATCACAATCAGAACTCACTGATGTCATTGTGACGTCTCAATCAAAATGGGTTTTGTTTTGTTTATTGTCGAAAAGATAACACAGATGTATAGTGTACACTGTTCATATAGTTATTTCTGCATTATTCAAGATAACCTTTCATAATGATATCTACAAATTTCGTATACTAAAAAGGGACACATCATATAACATTACCACTAAAAAGATTCTGCTGTACTGTCTTTTTCTATACATACATGTAAATGTACTTACGTGAAAATCATGATGAACATCGTGATCTTGTACCCAGAAATGAAATCGTCTGGATAGTTGCTTTAAGATACCAAACAGAATATATTCATATACTTCTTGCATATAAGTACAACCGAATATACAATGTTTTTTCTCTGAAAATGTAAGTGACCGTCTTTTTATCAACATGGCGACGGAAAACGGCGTGGGTATGTCGTAAATCTAATGTCGGAAGAACTTTCAAAAAGCCAATTTTAATAAATAACATGAATATTTTAATGAAAATTACTTTTATTTGACTATCAAATTGTTGTTTACGACCCTATAAATTAGTTCTATAACAAACGAGTCGTCATTATTAGTGTCACGACATCAGCCTATCTTCAGCAGTTCGAGTTGCGCGGTAGATTTGAATTCGTCAGGTTCGAATCACCTTAAACAACGTTATCATTTATAAAACGGTAAATACTTCTTCCCTTGAAAACAAATATTCCTATTTTGATTAGACAAGAAGTAGTTGTTTCTCATATTAAGATAACAAATATTTTGGGTGTGGTCCTTTAAATATAACTCATTGTACAAATACAATGTATTTGCAGAGGTATAGAAATAAAACAAAGTTTGTACATTTTTGTGATAAAAATGAAAAACAGCCACTTTTCTTTGAGAGATTACTGGTGAAATCTTACCTGTGTTTCTTAAGCGTTTCTTACCTGTAATATACAACATATGGAAGATCCCTGTAATTTCACTTCATAAATTATTGATCCGGTGATGCAATGCAGATGGTGCACATATTTCAATTTCTACTGATGCAAAAATCGATGAATACTTTATAATAACCAAAAAGGACGTGCACGTTTTTCAAATTGATGATAGAACATATAAGGGCTAAATATATGCTAGTATTTGCAGGCACTCGAATCCGAATCATCAATTTCGAAGTGAAAGGGGCGGGGAGAGATTTTTTTCGAGTCGGATTATTTATTTATATGTAATAGTTTATTCATTTCCCAGATGACCAGGCACAGATTATTTATTATCACATACACTAAACAAAAAAGTCTATCCAAACTCGAAAACACTATTTCTTTGGGGAGAGGGTAGGGCTACCACGACGCCAAAGTCATCCCAGTAAAGGACATATTGAGATTTATTTTCAGCATTTTCAAGGACAGATTATTAATTTCCGAAATATGATCCCCCCCCCCCCCAAGTATTGCATGGTTCTTCCGGCCTTAGAACCATGCACTGCCAGCACTTAAGTTCTTGATAGCTCTGCACTATTATGTGTGATTTTTAAATCAGCAGGGCGGGGGTTGTTCAGGGATTTCATTATTATGACATCTACATATCAATTTAGGCTACTAATGACTCAAAACCTCTTCCATAATCTAGCTGCCATTGCATTATATAGGTGGACTATTTAAGCTGGTCTTTACATCCAATGCCATGCAATCGATCATTCTGGAAAACTGTAAAATCACCGAGACTGAGCTGATGAAGTTAGTTTGAACTTTGTGAATATTCACGATGTTGTACTCTTGCCATCTCCACCTCCTACCCCACCCCACCCCTCCCAAAAACTTTCTTTTAAAAAAAAAATATAAAATTAAAACACCCAGACAACTAATATAATATGTCACTAAAAATTCTTAAATTTCAATTTAACTATACCTCAGTATAAATTCATCTATAAGAAATCATAGTAAAACATACTTGTATTTATTTATTTATTTTACAATAATACATATAATCATATAACTTGTACATGTAAGCCAGTGAACACATTCCAGAGGTGCATACAGGATTTCAAAAGGGGGGAGGGAATTTCATGTAATGACTACATAAACTCAAAAAACTTGTGGTAAAAATAAATATAAGAGCAAAGATTTCTCGAGAATCAAGTTTTCTCTATTGAATATAAAGAACACAAAGTTTTCTAAAATTTTTCATTTTTTCATCCTCTTACCTTTTCCTTCATTTTTTTGGAAGGGGGTACCCCTTTTACATATATCTGCCACTGTCCTTTGGACTACTTTAAGTTACAATTTTAGTGAAATATTATTTATGCCCTCCATTTATCTTTTGTTTGCCAATAAGTCATATACAATCCCAACATATTTTTTCCAGTCCCATCTTAGAGCTGTAGCTCTGTTAATTTTTACTCCTTAAAACAACTAAATCAGCTTTGACGAATATTGTCATTTAATAATGACGAATCTAACAAACTTACTACAAATAAACTACATTACTAACAGGGAAATCCCGGACAAACACAATCCCGACTTATTGGGAAAATTATATGACCCAGACAGTGGGATCTCCCTACAATTTAAGAGAAAATTAAGAGAAATATTATTACATAATAATGTATAAGCATTAAATAATGTTAAAGTACATATCAAAACATCGGGGATCACCGGGTAACATATTTACACAGTAGTCAAAAACAATTGCAGGGTGATCTCCCCGTGATGTAAAAAATTTTAAAAAACATATAAAAATTAAGGTGGCATATACAAAGTTCTGCCATAAATCCAATGCCGCTAAAGGCAATTTATATTAGTTGTCTGGGTGTTTTAAGTTTATTTTTTAGAGTAACCAACTTTTGAAATGGACAAACTTTATATTTTTATTCATACATGTAACATTAGTTTCAAGGACCTGCTAAACTTTTATCAAAAGAATTAAAACAAATGCATTTAAGCACCCTACAAAGAATATGGCATCACACACACACCCCCCCCCCCCTCACACACACACACACTTATAATATAATATAATATAATATAATATAATATAATATAATATAATATAATATAATATAATATAATATAATATAATATAATATAATATAATATTAGTTGAAATGATGTTATCCGACTTTGAATGTGAACGACGATCGAAATGTCTATATCCAGTTGAACCTTTAAAATCAGGCCAAAGAGACCTGTTTTGCTGAGAAAAGGCGTGGATACGTCGAACAACCTGCAAAATTTACCTGATTTGATTTTAGATAAATAAAATCGTATTCTCATCTTCCTGTTTCTCGAACGTAGTTCTGTTACATGCGTTTTCAGGGATTTTGGTATCACGATCCAGATGTTTAACGTATTTTTAAAGCACTATATAATGACGTATCATCATATAATATTAAAGTATCAGCATATAATTTTGAAGTATCATCATATAATGACAAAGTATCAGCATATAATGTTGAAGTATCAACAGATAATGTTGAAGTATCATCATATAATGACAAAGTATCAACATATAATGTTAAAGTATCAGCATATAATGAAAGATCTCCACATTTAAGGCAGCTGAGGCGTTCCATAATAATGGGATGTCAATTTATTAAATTGTTTTGGGAAGTACATGTACGCTGGAAAACTATAAGAACTCCAGCAACAGGAAGTGATTTGGTTTAGGGTTCAAGGTGAAAATGTATTTATAAGCGTGTCAAAAGGTGATGCTTTCAAAATGTAAGATCGGAAATTTCTGTAAAAATACCATCGGATAAGTATTGGATATTTTATTGACGACAAGAAGAGTCTAATAATATCCAAAATTCGAAGAAATTGTTATTTTTGTGAGCATTGAAAGTGCATTTTTAACAAGATTCTCATGATGTGAAAATTGCGAAGTAATTAATTCCACGTGCATTGGAAATAAATTCTAATAGCGTGACAGATTCGGAGGATTTTTTTATGTGCATTGGAAATACATTTTAAAACTCTTTCAGCTCTTTTGTTCATTGCTTAATTATGTTTTTATTCACAGTTGAATATTTAAATATCCAACCGATAGGCAGTAAGATATTTGAATATCCAATTGATGGCCATTTGGATTTTTAAATATCCAGCTAGTACTGGTTGAATCGGTAAAATAAACGTAGACTAATAACAATAGGTGACGTCATTGAAGTTATTTTAATCTGGGGTACACATTACAATACATCCTTTCATGTCTGTCATCAGAAAATATTACATATATCGACTGTACGCTTTTGATTAAATATCGCTACCCATTTATTAATATCATTTTACATTTGTGATGTAAAAATCTATAAATGTTTAGACTGAGTTGTGTCGACAAGAAAGGTTATCTGTGAAATCGTGTTCTTCAAACCTTGCATCTTAAGAATTACTTCAAAATCAAAGTTCAACTTTCAAAAATGTCATTTATCGAGCAAAAGTTCATAGAAATGAGAAATAAAAACGTCTTGTATTAAGTACAAATGATGAGCAAGACTGGACTTTAAAAAAAGAAAAAGAATTTATACCAGAACTTGTATTGATGAATCTCTTAGGTTTCCAAATTAATTTGGGAAATGCAAAACTAAAACTACTTAGATAATAATTAAAACAAATTGAATGATAATTTCGAGACGCAACTGATTGAAAATGTACAACATGCAGTGAGTTTCTCTGCCTTAAATATATACTGGTGGTAAGAAAAGTTTTATGGGATAATGTAGACTTTAGAATATTAATTAAATATTTGTTACCCAAATTTTCACAACTTTATTCCCTACCATTCCAATTGTATCCCTTATGAAACTTGACTCTGGGATGTTTGAGTAGGAAAATAAAAAATAAAAGGCAATTATAGCCCCCTTGTTCTGATTTAAATATGATTTATTGGAAAATATTTCTACTACCATCCAATAACCAAGACAGAATACAATTGAAAATATGATCAATGAAAAGAACAATCTGAATCGTTATAAAATGCTGAGTGACTATAGAACCCTGATTTACATGACAACTATTGCAAACACTTTAAAACCTGTAATTAATTTATCATTAAGGAAACATATAACTGATATTTTGACGATAATTGGTATATTAAGGCAACCCATGTTATCATTGAAGAAATAAGAAAGGCTGGCTGCAAGATACATACAATGCTAGTTCTCCTCAAATAAAACTTGTGATAAACAACTGAATATGTTGCAACATTGCTCACATTGTTTAAATTTGTTTGTTCTGATAGTTTTCTTACCATTTTAATGAAAAAACATTAAAAATTACAGGAATGCCAAAATCAAACATACTTAAGAGAATTCAGATCTAATTAGCGCATATCACTGTTCCATTGCTTTTCATATTTCAAAATTATTAACCAGTTTAAGGACATACGCAACGTACCTTACCTACTGATAATTTTTCAAGATATTCTTAATTTATGATTATAGTGCCATCAGATGTTCGTAGACAAAAAATCAGCATGCATTACCAGGGGTTTTAAAAAGATATCAATTGATGAAAATTCTTGTATAATTCAAAGAAAAATATACAAAAATTACTAAACATATATTCTAGATGTTTTGTTTATCCAAACTTGTTTTAGAAGAAGTGTACAACAGCATATATAGACATTAAATTGTAGCACACGGTTCCTTTAAGTATTGGAACTCTTCAACTCCAGGGGAAAAGACAATAAAGTTCAAACTACGTTGCGTATGTCCTTAAATATGATTCTGAATTGTTGTCTTATAAAATAATCTCTTTTCCTTTTTAGTACGAGACTAAAACATCCTGCACGAGAAAATTGAAGAAATATAACGTCAATATTACAAAAATTACGATAAAGTAGTATTGTTGAGTATCTAAATAGACACAGTACGTAACCAGAAGTCTCTGACGAGACTGCAGCTCTACTGTTTTGTACTTATAACAAAGGAAGATAAAAGTAGCTCTTGGACTTGAAACTTTGCAACCACAATAATTAGAATAATTATCCTTGGTTTACCCGGTAGTTTCCTTTTGTGGCAAGATTTATTCAATCAGACTAAAACTGTAGGAGAAGCCTTTTAAAAGAATTTTACAGAAATTTCGATTTTAGTAACCAAGCAACATCATTCAACAAAATAAAAAAAAACCCAATAAACTTGAGACAATTATGTATTTCAGTATAGTCTACTTGTGTGTCAACTTATACTGAAATCAGATCAAATTAGTAGAGTGTAGTCTACTTGTGTGTCAAGTTCTACTGAAATCGGACCAAATCTGTAGGAGCAGTAGCATTCTGAGAGTATTTCGAGGAATTTTTTGTTTTTAGAAACCATGGCAACACTGTTCATCGACATCAAAAATCGATATACAGAATTATGTATCTTTGTGTAGTCTACTTAATTGTGTGCCAAATTATATTGAAATCAGACCAAAACTGTAGGAGGAGTAGTATTTTGGATATATTTCTCAGAAAATTTTATTTTTAATAATCATGGCAATACTGTTCATTGAAATCAAAAACCGATACACAGAATTATGTAACTTTGTGTAGTCTATTCATGTGCCAAGTTATAATGAAATCAGACCAAAACTGTAGGATGAATAGCATTTTGAAAAATTGTTTATAGACGAATGGATGGACAGACAGACAGACGGACGGACGACGGACACCTTACTATCGCATAAGCTTTTCTGGTCTCTGACCAGTAGAGCTAAAAACGGGGAAACCTGCAGAATGCTATCAATAAAGCCCACGTTATGATACAAATATCAAGAAAACATGTGGTTATAACTCACTGTGTCTCTTTAAGCATATTTGCATGTTACATTTTGTAATTAAAAGAAATAAAACAAATATTTATTTTAAAGATCAGATGATTATTTTTCATAAGATAAATGCATTCGCACATATTCAATTTTCGCAAAGCCTATTTTTAAAAGGATTAAAACAATAAAAAAAAAATTGACGTCATTGCAGGATTAAAGGCCAGTTGCTTGGTAAAATATATATCAAGAGTTCGCTTTAAATTTTTTTCTTCAAAATATTTACATCATATAAATGCAATTTTTGTATCTTACAGCGCATTCATACACCTATAAAAAAATCTTCACATTTGTTGATTAAGGATCCATGAAAATGATTCCTAAACATCTGCCTAACATAACTCCAACAACATATTAATAATGTAAGATCTAAAATTAACTGCTTCAATAAGAACGCATTTCGGTAATGTGATTTACTCAAATGTGTGATCATATTTTTAGATTTAAATGTTAGAGGATATTCTTAACAAAGGAAAACATTCAGTTACAAAAATAAATATCAGGAGTATTCTAAAGAAGAATTTTGTACTTTATACTTCCGTACGATTTGACTAAGCACTTGTTCAAAACACAGCTTTACAAGAACACTATTTATAAAAATGTTATAATACACAATATATGAGGTAGTTGATTTAGAGAAAAATATTCATCCACGTTAGGAAAGCTGCAAAAAGAACCATCCACAACTCCGGAAAATGTGTTCTCCCGTCACCTGAAAATAAATAATTTAAATATATAGAAATTAAGGTTGGTGTTGGAATAATAAATCTTGACCAAGTTAGCTAAATTGTATATAAATTGTATCTTTTCACAATTTTTCCCATCAATACGTTGGAGATATCAATTTCCTAGTTGTCGATTGAATGTATGTTGTTTAACGTCCCATTCGAGAATTTTTCACTCAATAATATAGAGACGTCACCATATCCCGGTGAAGGGCTTTACAACTACACTCGGCTCTCAGAGCCATTGAGCAGTGAGAGTTCTCTATCGAGCCAACGCCTACCCTGACACGGACCCTTGGTTTTATAGGGCTCATTCTAAAGACTAATGACGTTCACTTCTAATGCTTGACGCTTGGGGAAAAAAGTCACTACGCATGTTAACATCTTACGTTTGACGCGGAAAAGCGACAGAGAATCAAACCCTGACCTCCCAATAATGAAGCGAACACCCTATCACTTGGCTACCATTACCGGTTTCTTAGTTTTCAAACAAGCAATCATTCTTATGTTTATATATTTATGATAATCAATTTAATGATTATCATGAAAAAAATTAATGTAATGTTTTTAAGTACTCTTATTGTAGGAAATATTTTTGCATAAAACATAATCAATTTACAGACTTTCAGAAAATTATTGTTATTTAAAGCCTTCATCAATTAAAGCGTATTCCAAGAGTGCATAACTTCGCCAACCCTACAATCATTGCATTTTAGAAATATTAGTCTATGTGTATGATCTTTGGGGTATCTTTCTTAGTTCATTCTATCGTGGAGGAATTCATCATACGCATATTGAAATGGATTCGTCTCCGTTCTATTTCGAAGCACCAGGAAAGTTAATTTTACTTTCAACTTTTCACCCATTTTTATTGAAATTGATGTACAACTTTAAGTCATCTAGAGATATTTCACATAGAGAAAATTAAGACCGAAAAACATTTTTTTCCCATTTCTTTTGACAGAGATCAAGTCCTGTTGATATGATACCTTGGAACTACTTTTCTGACGTGTCTTTAAAGAAACTCTATACTGAAAATAAGACAAAGCTTGTAATATCATTATTTTACTGCAAGATTCTTTTGAACTTACTTGACGGACATTGAACTCCCCCTTCACGCCTAGATCTCAGACTCGCAAGTGTTTTAGCGGTTTCTGATACAAATTCTTTGACTTCTTCATTTTCACACTTAGGCAAAGCCATCATTGCACATGTTGAATAATCAGATATTCTTCTGTTTTACCATATTTTAAAAAAGAAAAAGAAGAGTATTTAGATTTCATTAATAGATCACTTCGCCTTGATACAGATTCTATACAAACTACAAGGAGTATAACCTATAGGAGCCCACAAAAATTATTAGAGACCGTATAGGTTGACTCTTTTAATAGGTCAGGACAATGTTCATCTGGAAAGCATATTTTTATGAATTGAATATACATGTATTTTTTTAATTCTGATTTCTCTAAACTCTTATTACTGCAAAGGGAAATAAATGTTTAATTGACTGATACAAATGATCAAAAACTTTGATCATCAGATTAATATAACAACAAAAAAGTGCCGGCAATGTTTTACTATACAGAAATATTGAATATCTCTAACCAGGTTTCAAATTTTGAAATAATCTTGCGAGATGCCCATGAAATTTATTTGATTTTCATCTAATTGTTGAAATGAAATATTACAAACTAGATAAATATAGAATTGGAAACAAACTTTCTGTTTTATCGTAAGGAATATGCTCTCCTTTAGACAAGTAGCACTTACTTGCATTCAACACTTTCGGTTTCTCTTTGCAAGGGTGGTTTTAAGAGTTGCTGGCAATTCTGTTTAATTGTTGAGCTGGCAAGACAAGTCTTGAAGGCATTCATACCTTTCAAAAGTCAATAATGCAATTTTGAAAAAAAAAATCAAATTCATATTTTTCTGCTTCAAATTGTCAATCATCTGGAAATTATTTTCCCCATTCAGTTAAAAAAAAACCAAACCTGTCTTCAGAGATATGTCAGAACAAAGATTTTTCAATCCCTGAATTTTCCTTTGTATGTCTTTATTCCGTGGACAATTCTCAAGTTTTGATTCCAGGCATAAGATGGAATTTTGTATGTCACTACAACATATGCGATTACAAGTATTTGAAGTTATGCATTATTTCAAAGCATAATACAACTTAACAGATCACTAAGCACAAATTTTCTCGCGAAATTCTTAATTCGTAGTTTTAAAGAAGGTGTAAATATTGAAGCCATGAATACAAGAAGCCAGACTGTAAATTGTGAATCGTTATTATGACAATACAGAATCAGTTATAAATACAACAGATAAAGAAAAAATTCCTTACGTGCAGTTCTCAACTGGAAAATCCAATCCATTTAGGCATCCTCCACCCTTACAAACTACAGACAGAATCAATCAAATAATATAGAGGGCTTCGATTATTCATTAATTCCATAATCAATGACTAGTAAAACGGTGTGAATAATTTCTTTTTCAGGATCATAATTATTATAAGATCATTTCAAGAATTCAAATACCTACAATGCAAACTTGAAATCCAAATGCACGCTCTCCTACATGTATATACATGCATGTGTTTGATTTAATTATTTTGTAATATAACATCCCTGGATTTACGAAAATAGAAATTTATGTTCAATATACATGAATGTCCAAGGTGTCCGGGTCCTGGGCCATATCGACCAAGAGGCAAATAATTTTACAATTTTGGCAGAGGATTTAGTTTTAATTATAATCACGCAAACATTTTGTCTGCCAGTTGTCAATCAGAACATTCTTAATGGTGAAATATATTTTCCATATCATCTTTGGGCCTAAACCATTGACGTAGGATACAAGTTTTAAAATTCTTTTAAGGGAGTTATGTACTCGTTATTATGTAAATAGGTAGCCTGTACATGTTCATGAGAAAAGAAGTTTGTATGTTTTAATCAATTAATGACCATCTTTACATCAACAATGGGATATGAAACCATCGACCAAGGGACCATGATTTTTGCACTCATCAAAACAAGGGGGTATGAATTTCACAAGTTTAGTGTTCAGCATTTATTGTAAACATGCAAACAGTTTCTCTGCCAGATGTACATGAGTAAAGAAGACTTTATAATGCACTTTCAATATCTAAACAACTTAGCCCAGTTCAGTCCAGCATGAACCAAGATTTCAGGGCTCAAGAGTTTCATAAGTTTGGTAGAGCTTCATTGCGTGGACCCTGAGGTCCACGCAGAAAATATATTAGCGGAGTTAAACCGGATGCCATGGGCTTACGTCAGGCTACGCAGGCGCGAGGATGCTAGAGAGTTCGCCTCTAAGACAACTTGCCCGTAGAACAATTCGCCCTCTTCGAATTAGAATATGCCAATCATTGGCAAACCTCGCTCTAAAATCTGCACATCGTATTTATGTATTCTTTGGCGTAACCAAGATCTGAATTTCTCTTTAAGGTATTCAATGTATAATGAAGGGATTTTGAACAATTTTGAATCACTTTAAACTAGTTAAAAATGCATTGGTAAATAACCATGAGTGAAATGAACTAAATTCACATGACTGATAACATGAGAAACTGGTCATTTTGCACTTTAAAAGTTTTTGAAGAGTTATCTGCCCTTGATGCAAAGAGGAAAATTTTAATTTCGTAAAAATATCTGCGGTAATTGATTAATTTTATTTCATTTTTTAATAAAGAGAGAATGTATGTATATTTTCACCAAGAGCTTTTCATAAAATTCAAATTACTTTTTACAATATCTTAATAACACATGCATTGTCCATAGACTTCAATGTAAAATTCAAGGTGCAATTAATTTGACAATAATCAAACTTTTGTAATTTTCTTTGGTGGAGTATTTTTATTTCATAACACCTTCAAAATGATACCATAATTACAAATATAGGACCGTTCATTTATTAGATACAAAATATGGTCGTTATACATTGAATACCTTAACACATATATCCTTATATACAAACTAAATTCTATGGTACAAGCATTTTAAATAAGTAGGAAGAACTTATAGAGATAGCTTAACAGCTTGAACATGTTGAATTAAAACACTAGGTTTTAAAAGATAGTCTTTGCCATGTTTACCGGCATTAGTTTTGTGCATCAAGGTTTGCAAAATAATTTGATAGACAGCAATCCAAATACAGCTTGATAAAGGCCTGTAGCAATGTTTTTCCATGTGGGGGAGAGGGAGAAACATCCAAAAAAAAAAATTCTGCGTACTACAGATCTGTGCTACACGTTTACCATCTATCTTTCCAATGATACATGTAGGATACTTCCGTATAAATCTAGTACAGATGTCAAGTCCCAGCCGTTAAGCATTACAGGTATCGAAATAGCCCGATTTTTTTTCAGTTAAATGACAAAACTTATAGGCCAATCGGGAATAAAATTTAACAACTTTGCTATGAAAGTACAATCACTCAAAGTAAGCAGATCATTGTAGAAAATGTTAACGAAAGGTAAACCTATGCCACCTTTCAGAGTAACCAATGAACTCGCCCATGGATGCATTGACGGTACGTTGTAACAAGAATAGATATGGGTTACCCCGTATCCAAAATATTCGACTTTTAATTTACTCCAATTTTCACTAGAAAAAAAACTGTACATGTTATGAAACTGGTGTATAGTTCTTCATGTTTGTAGCAAATACCGTCACCAGTCTAAGCGTCACTAGCAAACAATACACACACCTGTGCTTGCAAGACCAAATAGCCTATGTCTACACACGTGCGATAAGATTCTCAGACCTTCTGCCGAGAAGTTACGATTGCAGGTGTTGTATATTAACCATTCCGTTATTTAAATGAGACAGACAAAAAAACACACACACAAAATTAATCTCTTTTTTGTGTTTTTAAATTGATCGAGTTAATCGATAACTTAGCATTGTTTAAGATAACTCGAGACCCTTTAGTAAAGGGGGGGGGGGGTCTAAGTCACACCACAGGCACTAACATTCAAGCCCGTAGCAACGGTTTTCAAAGGGTGCAACCTCCAAAAAGAGTTGACAAGCAGAAAGAAATAAATAAATTAACAACCTGTGCACCACCCTCTAAAATCCTATTTAAGGGGGGGGGGGGGGGCTTCGTCTAACTTTTCGGGTACATTTTGATTTATTTTAAATGTTTGATTTTCTGTATTTTGAACCTTTCTGCAACAAAAAGTGCGGGGGAGCTTCCAATGCAAATTAAAACTTATATATTCAAATTCTAACAAAAGATTTTTTAAAGAAAAAGTGAGCCCCCCTCCCCCACATACTACGGGACATTTTGAACCTTTCTCTTCAATGATTAAAATATCCCTATAGTATAAGGAGATAAATATTGTCCTTTACAAAAATTTTGATATTTCTTAGGCAAAGTTTGTACATGACAATTAATTGTCATGTACAAATTTTGCATAAGAAATATCAAAATTTTTGTAAAGGATAATATTCTCTTACGGATACTCCCTTTCATGACTTTTTATGCATACTTCTTAAAGTTAGTTACTTTAGAAGATGGTCCAAAAATGGCATAGCCGTACGTTCGTTCGCTGGAATCTTCCGATGATATCAAAGTGAAATATTTCAAGTTACATGTGGGTGGTCGAGGCCCGGGACCGGTATTGTGAAGGTACACGGAGGAAGCAATAAGCAAAACTCTATCTAGAGAGCAGAAAGGGCAGAGATTGAAGTACTTCATATTTTACTGAAAATACTAGATGTAAAAAAAATATGTATTACAGAATAAACATTCTCTCTCTCTTCCTCTTTCTGCAAAAATAAAGGAGGTTCCAACACCCGACCCCCCCCCTCCCTGGATACGCCAATGGAGATTACGATACCTGCACGCTTAAGCCTCTTTTAATTCTGTTGTTAATTTTAAAAGCTAAATTACAATTGTGATAGATACCTACATCAACATTTCATATTCACATCATTTCAAGGTCATGATTTTTCTTATCATTACAGCCTAATTAAACAGACTTAAATAACGATGAAAATTAGAAGAAAAAAAAAGATTAAACTTAATTACACTTTTGTAAACTCACTAAACCTAGAAATTTTCTTTGAATTTCGTTTCGAAACACATGCATATGGTCCACGTATTGCAGTCCTTTTTTTAAAGGACAGCAACTTGTTGCTCATTTTTATCAGGGAAAAGTTTCCTGCTTGACGTTCAGGAATAAAGTAGATTAATGAAGACTGCATTAATTTGATAATTTTAGTCACTGCCCTTAGGCCTCAGGATCCAGAGGCCATGAAATTAACGACTTTTGTTCCTCTTTACCTATAGCTAAATGCTTTATTACAAAATTGGTTGAAAATGGGCCTGTGGTTCCAGAGAAGGTAATCATTTACAACCTCCACAGGACAGACGACGCTCGACGACGGTCAAAACAGATAGCAATAGGTTACCTGAGTGGGGTGATTTATGCACACAAAAACTAATCCAAAAACCTGCAACGCTATATGTCTTATGATGTTTTCCGCTAATGCACTGTTTGCCTGTATAGATTTCTGAGGAGTCGGTCAGGTTTCATAAAAAGGATTTTTTTTCAGAAATAATATATATGTCTGATATAATTGATTGAATGCAAAGAAAAGAAAAGAAGAAAGAAAAATTATCATCATATTTTAAATTCTGTCCTTACCAGCTTTGCATGCTTTATGTAGCTGTTTTATCGCTGGAACTGATATTTTGAATAACGAATGATTCCTGCATCCTGATTCAAACTTGGTCACGCACAACATAGTTGTAGAAACAACATCACTGTCAAAAGGAAAAATGCAGTTTAATTAATTCTTTAATCCTATCTTTTCATATAAACTGTAAACATGAATATAACTTCCAGAAATCAACCAAATGTAAACAATATTCTAATAAATTGATGCTGATAGCCTGGTTCATAAAGAATATCTTATTTTGGAAAATTGCTGTCATATTAAAAACTACATTAACAAGAGGCCCATGGGCCACATCGCTCAACTGAGCACATTGGCTAGGAAAATGCACAAATCAGTTCAGTATTGAAAAGTTTACATTGGGGGGAGGGGGCTTCAATTTTAAACTACTTGAGGATGCTTCCATATCAATATAACAAATGGATTTGTTGTTCTTGAGCAGAAAATTCCTACTTATTCCTTTGTAAAAATTTGATCCCCCATTGTGGCCCCACACTATCCCCAGGGGGTCATGATTTGAACAATCTTGAATCTAAACAACGTGAGGATTCTTCCATTTCAAAATGACCAATCATGGCTTTGCTATTCTTCAGAAGATTTTTAAAGATGTTTCCTTATATACACTGTATTCTTATGTAAAACTTTTATCACCAATTGCAGCCCCACCCATTTCCTGGGGTCATCATTTGGACAAACTTGAATCTACACTACCTGAGAACACTTCCATAACAATATGACTAAACATGGCTTTGTTGTTCTTGCAGAGAAAATTTTTAAAGATTTTTTTCCAATATATACTTATGTAAAACTTTGATCCCCCATAGTGGCCCCACCCTACCCCAGGGTGTCATGATTTGAACAAATTTGAATCTACATTACCTGAGAATGCTTTCATATCAATATGATTAAACAGGGCTTTGTTGTTTTTGAGAAGAAGATTTTTTTCCTATATATTCCTATGTAAAACTTTGATCCCCCATTGTGACCCCATCTTAACCCCGGGATCATGATTTGAAGAAATTTGAATCTACACTACGTAAAGAAGGTTTTCTGTAAGTTTCAACCTTTTTTTTTTTGCCTGGTGGTTCTTGAGAAGAAGATTTTTAAAACATGCCAAATTTTCACTAGTTCCTAATTATCAGGCAGACAGACGGACAGAGGGACTACAGAAAAAATGTGATCAGAAAAGTTCACTTGAGCTTTCAGCTCAGGTGAGCTAAAAAGTAATTTAATCTAATACATTTGATTGTTTAAATTCAATTTGGGATTTACGTTGTATTTTTGCATAAACTTTTCATAAACTTACCAGCCATATTCGACTTTTTTTGTATTAGAAAGTTGCCATCCTGCTTCTTTTAGACAATTTCCAAACCCCGTGACATTACAGTTTTCACTGTCCATACCTATGATTTAAAGAATTCAAATATTTAAAAAAAAATGAAACAAATATTTGATGTCAGACACAGCTTAGGTTTCTAATAACAATTTCCATCAAAATAAAATGAGATACTGAGACTTATTAAGTTATTGATATAAGGTTACTGAATACTGTAAATTACAGTAAACTTTTACTACTTGGTAATTCTCCTTCCACACACGCCATCGTCAGCTGACTAAAGGCTTCATCCAACATGGAGAACATTATGTTACCCTCACATGAAGATCTTTGTGTCTCAACACAGTTCTTGAATATTGGATATTTTTCACTGTCAAGGAATAAATATTGTAAATGCCATACCTCAATTTTAGCATTGATTTCATTTTTTTCTTTTACCGAGACAAAACTGATATTTTCTTTTAAATTAATAAGAATATGTATTAGAAAATTAATTGATGAAATAATATTATACCAGTTGTTGACATTCTGTGGCGGCTGGTTACTTCCGGTTAGTGCTATACCCAATATGGCATAGCACTTGGTGGGATCACAGCTTGCATCACCTATATTGTGATAAATGCCAGTAATTTGAATGAAGACATCTTAAGTGACTTTATTTTTCTTTCAATGAAATGGAAGTCTTGTGTTAAGAAAAAGTATAATGCCAAACTTTATCAAATAAACGAGCTCATGGTTTAGTAACAAAGTACGATACAAACCTGCTAAGTATTTGTCCTTTATAGTTATGTGATTGTCGTGCATGAATAGTAATTAATCAACACATTATAAGTGCAAATTTTTAAACCGCCGATTATTAATTATTGAATAATTTTAGTACATCTACATCATTTTACGATTTTGATTTCTTTAATCATTGTCCCCACTAATGGATTAAATATCCTTACGACATTAAGATGGTGGACAATAATGAAGATATAAATTCTTTCTTGCTTGAGAAGGGCCTATTAATTTTAAAACACGTTAAAAACAAGGGCCACATCGCTGACATGAGTAACTATGGCCCTTCTGTTCTTCATCAGCAGATTCTTTTTCCTATGTTTTCTTATGTAAAACTTTGATCACATATTAATCAACCATTAATGTGACTAATCAGAGCTCTTGAGAAGAAGATATTTAAAGATATTTTCTATGTATTCCTATGTAAATCTTTGATCCCCCAGTGTGGCCCCACCCTACCCCGGGGTCATAATTTGAACAACGTTGAATCTACAGAATGTAATGAAACTTTTATAAACGTTTAATCTTTTCTGGCCCAGTGGTTCTTAAATGAAGACTTTTAAAAGACGCCACCGAAATTTTACAAATTCTCAATTATCTCCCCTTGAAAGAGGATGTGGCACTTCCTGTGAATAAATTTAAATTTCATTCATCAAAGGATGCTTTGTGGCACGTTTGGTTGATATTGATCCAGTGGTTCTTGAGAAGATGTCGAAAATGTCCAAAATAACAGACGACAACGAACCACAGCTGACACCTTCAGCTCAAGTGAGCTTACATGAGGCTCAAGGGCCTAAACGTTTACCTATGTATAATACAACCGTAATAGGGATCCATGGAATGATTAATAATAATTAAAACAAAAAATGAATTGAAAGAAAAAGTGTCAATACGGCACCACAAAATAATCAAGACTGGTCATCAGCAACAACTCAGAAACTTGCCCGTATATGTCAGAGCTATCTATCACCAACATTACAAAAGTAATAGAATGGTCAATATTTATATAATAACAAAAAAATAAATTGAAGAAAAGTGTATGATCAGGGCTCAACAAAAGAGTTTGTCTGGTAGTCAGACACAACTCAAACATTACAATAGTGCTAAAGCATACAACAAAATATTCAGAGTTCACCCACCCAGCACAATTCCTGTCCCAAATTGGCCTCTTATTTTCAAGCACATTAATAATATATTTTTTCACATTTTTGTCATGTATTATAAATTCCACTTGACAATCAAATGCTATGAATATATCAAATATATATATATCAAAATTCTTGTATATTTTTATATTCAATTTACCAATCGATTGCATTATTTACACTGATTACCTGTAATCATCATAAGTGAATTACAAAGGGGAATAAATTCTCTGAAAGCAGAGAAAGCACTTGTCAAGTATTCCCATGATCATAATAGAGCTAAGCCCTTACTTCACAACCTCTGTCTCAGGGGTGGTGATCTTCAAAATTTTAAGAGGCACTTTCTCATAGTAACATGCACTTAGTTTCTCTGCTAAATACTCAGGTGCAGAGAATATTTATGAGCAATAAATGCATTTTCATAGTATGATCAATAGAGCCATGCCCTAGCACCAGAACCCCTGACCTGGGGACCATGAATTTCACAATTTTAGAAGAAGCACTCTTTCTCATCATAATAATGCACTAAGTTTGTATTATAAATACACAAGAGCAAAGAAGACGTTCAAAGAATAATACATTTTCATTATGTAACCAATAGAACCCCCCCCCCCCAACTCCAGAACCCCTAACCCATAGGGCCATGAATTTCACAATTTTGAAAGAGGCTCTCTTGCTCATCTGATCTATGCACTTAGTCTGACTTCTAAATATACAGCGAGTAGAGAAGATTTTTGAAAAATTTATGAATATTCACTATATGATCTATAGAACCCACCCTGACACAGGAATCCCTGACCAACGGACCATGAATTTTACAATTTTGGTAGGGGACTCAATGCATATTACACTCATGTCAAGAAGATTTTTAAAGATTGCATTAATTTTTACGGTTTTAGCCCCACCCCTCAGGCCAAAAGAGGGCAGGGACCATGAAATTCACAGTATTCCCCTTTTCACCCAAAGATGCTATATGCTGAAATTGGTTGAAATTGGTTTAGCGGTTCCAGAAAAGAAGTTGAAAATGTTCAAATGTCAACGTACAACCAACATTAACAACAATGACGGACTAAAACAGGTAGCAATAGGTCACTTGAGTGTCTCAGATGAATTAAAAATCTACCCTTACAATTACAAGAAAACAGACTACGAAAATATACAATTGTATTTCTGTAATTTAATTCTAATTTTGTTCAGACCATAATCCTTTTGGTGGAGATAGAGATGTATAAGGGATTCTAATTTTTAACAATTATCATTTTAAGGGGGAAAATCAGTACTTTAAAATTTTGTTTAAATAATTATATTAGGAAGAAATATTTACCAACACAGAAACCACCTATATCAGAAAACCCTGAAACCATCTCTTGGAATATTGGGTCAGACTCGCAGGAGCTCCGGTATGGGGTAACACAAGCATCTGCAGTTTTGTATGCCCTGGAAACGAGAAATTCTGCTTTTACCAGTTCAATAGAATAATCATACTCATAAAAATATTTTTAAAAACTATTAAAAGCCTTAGGATTTCCTCTAAAATCGTTTATAATAATCTTAGAAACAAAGCATTACTACATAGTATATATGTATTATATATGTTTCACAATTATAGTTTTGTATTTGTTACCTTTTAATGTGCATGTAATTTTGTATTAGGAATGTAAATGCAACTTTACTCACTCGCATGCCGTTTGCAAATCTTGTGTTATTTGTTCTGAAGGTATGTTTTCGTTTTCCAGACAAAGTCGCACTCCTTCGAGGTTACATTGTGCTTGGATCAGAACTAAAATATCGTGAAATTTACATTTTGTTAAGGACAGATGATACAAACTTTTATCAAAAATCTTGAAAAATATAACAACATAAATCATGTTTATATATTAAGTAAAATAAATAAGTTAAACTGCATAGATTTCAATTTTTCATTCAAACTTTCGCAATAATCGGATTTAAAGTGACAAAAAATCATATAAATTAACAATGATGGTTGCAGAAAGGTAAAGGTAGAATTTTGAACATCATACAAGATTTACAATTTCTTTATATTTTAGAATTTATTTGTTGCATCTTTTACAACCAAAATGGGTCCAAAAATATATACCAATCCAGGCAATCATTTTTTGTTTGTTTGTATCATCTGTCATTTAATGTTAAGTAGATTGTGACTACAGATAAACAACATCCCTCTGCAGTAAAGAATACAAGTAATTCTTGAAATAATTATTGTTTGTATCAAGATAAAAAGAAAACTTTTGCTCTTTAGAAAAACGGTGGGAAAATGATAATTTCACAGAAATAAGTTTTTCTTCAAAACTGATAAGAGTTAACGTAGAATTGACCTTTCAGTGGAATAAATTTATGATTGGCAGCAAATGTCCTATATTTTACTTTTACAATAATGATATGTTAACTAGAAACGTAAATACATATATAAATAATCATATACATGTATCTATTATATTTTTATTGTAACTCAAATGCTTCGATTTGTACGTAGGTTTCTGTCTTGAAAAATGTTTAATCAATTTTTAATACAGTAATTGGCAAAATATGACTTGGATAAGAACTGTATGCCGACTTAAAAAAAAAATCGAGCAATCGAGCAATTTTGTGATATAAACAATAATAATGATTATCTAAAGAAAATATTTATTTATCTATCAATAAAATTGGAAGAAATTAAATCTTTAAAGGCAAAAGGCAACAATTTTGTACATTATTTCATTAAAAATGAAGCATGCAGCAAATGACATTCAGAAACAAGTTTCAAATGAGGGTTCAACGTTGTAACAATTCAAAGAACTAGAGCCGAGCTCGTTGCAATGCAACGAATAGGTCTTCCGTCTGAGCTCCGGACAGGACATAGTGACCTTGAGTCAAGGTCATGCAACATTTTAAGGTTATAAACAATCCTGTAAGGGGCATCAACTTTCAATGTTTCAACAGTAGAAAGACAGTTAAGGAATGTAAAATTCCCCCGTCAGTGAACTTGAACTTGTCCAAATAACCTTGCGTCAAGCCATGACACATTCTGCAGCTGGTTAAGGGCAAACACCATCTGTATGTCACCGACATAAAAAAAAAATCACAGTCACGTATTCTTTCAGACTATTCATCCAAAACATCATATTCTAAGTGACCTCGAATTTAAGTCAAGGCCATTACACACTCTGGATGATATATTTATCAACTTTTCAGTGATATGCAAATGCATGCAATTTTTTCTATTACAAAATTATGGACCTTTTTGTTTGTTTGTTTGTATGTTGTTTAACGTCAGCTTCGAGAATTTTTCAATCATATGGAGACGCCACCATTTGCCGATGGAGGTCTCCAAATTTGACCTATACTCGGCACTCATGGCCATTGAGCAGTGAGGGATCTTTTTCGTGTCAGCACCTACTGCCAGACGGGACCTCAGTTTGTACGGTCTCATCCAAAGGATCGGTCTCTGCATCCCACATTGGGATTCGAACCTGCGACGTAAGGATCAACTCCTTAATCCACGACTCTAGAGCAGACACTCTTACCACTGCGCCACGTGCGCGACTAAACCTTTTTGAATTTTACACTTATTATATCAGTGACCTTGATCTTGCCTAAATGACCTATGTTAAGGTCAAAAACAACCTTTGAACAAATTATGAGCTTCCAGTGATACTCAATGACAAAGATATACCTGAAAAAGAATATTGCACTTTTCTGTCAGTGACCTTGAACTTGCCAGAAAGACCTTGGATCAAGGTCAAAACACATTCTTGGATCATAAGCAATCTCTGTATCAAGTAAAAACTTCCAGTGATTTTATATAACAAAGTTATAACATGGGGGAAAAAATAATATTTATCTGCCAGTGACCTTGAACTTGCCGAAAAAACCTTTGTTCAAGGTCAGGACAAACCCATCTCAAGCAATCTGAGAAAAAGTTTCCTGCGTTCCTCCCACCCCTTATAAATTTATAATCCAGGCACGAATTTTGCCATTTCTTCTGCCAGTCTAGTACTATGTTATCTCAAACCGGTGGATCATAAGCAATCTTTGTTCCAAGTATGAGCTTCCAAAATTATAGCACATACAGTAATCTTACACTTTTCTGTCAGTGACCTTGAACTTACAGGAATGACCTTGGATGAAGGTCGTGTCAAACCATTTAATTTTGTCATAAGCAATTCCTGTATCAAGTATGATACTTGCTATTTTTTTCCAGTGACCTTGAACTTGCCGGAATGACATTGGATCAAAACCATGACACACCCTCGGATCATTAGTAATCTTTGTACCAAGTTGACCTTCCAGTTTCTTCATAACAAAGTTATAATATCCTTGGCAAACTATCACGTACAGACGGACAGCTAGGCAGACGGACAGTGTGATTCCAGAAGACTCAAAACAACTCCACCCCAAACCCACACACTTCGTTTGGGGGGATATATAAATTCCTATGTTAAATTATGAACACTCTTTCCGGCCCAAACCTTCTCCCTGGAATCAATATTTGAAAAAAAAAAATGAATGTATGCTATGTTGGAAATTTTCTCATTCTAGTCCAGGGGTTCTTGAGAATACTATTTTCAAATGACCCCATGCGCGGATCTAGAGGGGTTTGGGGGCAGTTAAATGTATATACTAAGCCAAGTAAAAGTGACCATTCCCCCCCTCCCCCCCTAGAAAACGCGGACCCTTCCTCGAAAACGCGGATCTGTGTTAAAATGGTATGAAAAGTCTTAGGTATGAAGCTTTAAAAGTCAGCGACCCCCCCCCCCATACACACACACAAACACACACACGAAATAGGTTTTTCACGTTTGGGAAAAGAGTTTCTTTTTTTTTTGGCTCGTCAAGAAATTTCTGGGTTGAAATTTTTTTTTTTGGGATCCCCCCCCCCCCCGCGTGGAAAAAAATTCCTTGATCCGCGCCTGGACCCCATCTAACTTTTACTACATGTATCCGTTAAAAGAGGATGTGACCCTTCATTTGAATAAAACTTTACCAAAAATATTCTGTGTTAATTTTCGTTGTTGTGGTCCTGTGGTTCTTGATAAAAATGAGAAAAATTTACAAGTAGCTTTAGAACAACGACGACGATAACGCTCATATACACCAAGAAAGCAAACAAAGATGAAGAATTATGGACAGAAAAGCTTCCTTGGGTCTTTGGCTTGGAAGGTGAGATACTTATTAAAAATTGAAATTATTTTGTCATTTTTTTTTACAATCGACGGGCCTGCATTTCAAAGAGAGAGAGAGAGAGAGAATTTCTAGCTAGGTCTTTGAATAACAGTGACATCGGTTCAGAAAACCAGGTCCCTAGGAATGTACATGTATATAAAATAGGCAGTGCCTATCTCTCTCGGAATTCATCACCTGCTTCTGTAAAGCTCCATCCTCACTTGTACTGACATGTACCTGATAAAACCAACCGACTGCGAAAGGAAAACTTTCTATTTATTTCGAGGATGGGGGTATACATATAGTGATGAGAGGAAATTTATTCACCTATACGTTCATTAAATATGAAAGATTGCTTCTGAGTATTTGTATACGATCGCACGACTTTCGTGTTAATTTATAAAAGTTGGATTATGTAAGCAAAGAACTAAACTAACATTTGTTGTAGATGAATAAAATAATTAATTAGTTGTTTATAATTTTTTTTAACATCTGTAAGAACCACTTTATTTTAAAAAACGAATAATCGTCCTATTATGGGCGCCCATGATATATTAGACAAGGTGTTTAATTAAAACATAATTCAGATATCGACATCCAGGAGAACAACACATTCTTTTTCAGTGGCGGATACAGGAGTCTTGAAAAGGGGGCCCGACCAGATTTGTGTCGGGGTAGGGGCCCAAACCCACATAAAAAATTGATTTATTAAATCTTGTGTATATTTTGGATACAAAAGAGGGCAGGCCCCCTGAACCTCCTCTAAATCTGCCAGCGGTTTTTTTTTTTTTCATTATCTATCAAACGCGTTGACAAAGTCAAAAAGACGGTTTTAGTTTTTTAGGGCATTTTTACAGTGATATGAGAAAAGTCTGATAATTGCTGTTAATTTTAAGAAATAAAGTTCGTCATTTTTCAACCTCGTTCGGTATAATATAATTTACTGATAATTTTTTCCGTTAAGGAGGAACACATAGACGAAGGATAAAAAAGCAGTATTCTGCATGTACATGTACACATCATTGCTATAATTGTGTACTCGGGATTAAACCCCAAATCCTTCGTTACATTGTATTTGGGTATAATTTTCACATGTTCTCAGGCGGATAATCATTTATTTTTATCTGTCTAAAGACAATAATTTCAGTTAATAGAGAAATGTTTTTATTTCGTCGTTTTTTCCCATCCTTTTGGTTTACACGTTTGCTTTGTACACAAAAGCGTGTGTTCATGTACCGCTGTTTCTACACGCTATCGATGTGATCAGGGAGAACATGATATCATCCAGCAATTTACTTCTTATGAAAACACTTAATGAAAACATATTAGGTGAAAATATATATACCCGTTAGTATCTTAGTACCTGAGTATCGACCTGTTTAATTGCAGTGTCACCAACCGTAACGATCGCTGACCAGGACTTGAATATAATTTATTACCGTTATTAAAACAACTCGTTAGCTGAGCGGACCTATGATTTAAACAGTAAAATAGGGAAATTCCAGAGTTCGAAGTGTTTTATTTTGGGCGCTCTTCCACATAAACATTTACGCGTACTTACATGCATGTACCAGTAATTCGTGTCATGGGTAAATTCAGTTTATTAGATGAGATAAAACAAATGCATAAGATTAATCTTCCTAAACAACACGTTTTTAAAATAATCTGTCTGATATAAGGGACGGTATAAAATAACAAAGAAAATAAAGGGTTTGTGTTTGTATTTAATTTAGAATGAGAACAAATCTTAACCTGTCAAATCATTTATTTTCCAGACACTAATTGCCATGCGTAATCTTCACATGCACTGACCAAGAGGTCACAAGTTCGAAATGTATGGCTTCTCATTGCGTGAATTTTGTCAACACATGTCGGAACAAACTATCTAAGCCAATTGCGTCCCAAAGAAAACTGCATAGGAAGGGTTTTTTGGTACACTTTTTAACGGGTAAAATTCTTTCGACGCTCGATAGAATTTTCAAATACAAGTGAAATATTTAGCTTACTTGCGTCCGACCTAGTATTTTGTATGCAATAATATTGTAAGTTAGGAAGAAAATAATACAAACTCAAAAGTACTTAATTTTATTTTCGATTTTCCTGACAATTAAAAATGTGACCTCTACGTACAATTATCGTGATAATTACATACATGCTGTTTAATGTTCATGAAAGAAATAGCAACTTGTTAAATAATAACATTAGAGAGATAAATAAACTGTTTCTTTAATACATAAACAAAGTGGTCTTTTCGGCATTCAAAATGCATTGAATTTGAAGTGAATAAGTGAAAGGCAGTTAAGACTAGCTGATTAAAACGAGCGAGTGATAAACAGTAAGACGAAATCATATGAAAGATTCGAAATGATTTTAAAGTAATTTTCCACAAAGCGCAATTATCTCAACATCGAGAAATACAATGTTTATAAAAATAAATATGCAACTTCTTCTAATATGTAAATTGAAATGTACTAGCGACTTAATCAAAGATATTACGAAATAGTCTGAAAGATTCAACATATTTATCCACTCATCACTTAGTTAACAAAATGTATTTGGAATGGCCATTCTATGGATTGTTTTGTGTATGACCTTAGGTCGCTGGTTCACACGCCGATTGATCTTCGGTGACCTCCTTTGCCACGCGCTATCGAGGGAGGGGTTACATAATTGTAAACACACAAAGTGAATGTAAAAGGCGTGTACTTAATGGCTGTGAATAGTCTATGTTTAAAGTTTTGTTTTATTTTCTAACTTTATTGTTTGTTTTTATATGATAAGAAGAAAAGGTTATCTTTTTTTCCCTGTTTAGTAGACTGGTTTATCCAAATTTGAAAACAAACGAAATAAAAGGGAAAGTTGTCAGTAAATAATTTGGAAATAAAGCACAAAATACTTCAAGAACCTGATTCTAAAGAATATTAGCATCTAATGTAGCTAGGTTTATTATTTATAGTAAGTTTATTTTAATTACACGCATGAAGAGCTCTTGTTTACTTGCTGAATGAAAACACTTACCTGTATATGTGTTATGCTTCTAGCTCATTTAGAACACAAGACTCAAACAAAATAACGTTTTCTTGAGATCAATTAGATGTTAAATAACAACTTTAATTATGGCAGCTATTTCGAAATATTTACCGTTTTTGAGTTATAAAGCAAAAACTTTAAAGGGCCCCAGATCCCTAATTTTAGGGGCTAGACCCTTTTTAGTGGTGTCAAATGAAAGGCCTTAAAATTGTGCACAACTTTTATTCTACATGTTTTATCAAAATATTTTTAGTTTAGAAGATAAAAAGGAAAATATGTGTAAATTTTCGCTCTATTAGGCGTTCTAATTTTTGACCCCTCTCTAGCGCCATTTTGAATACAGAAATTGAAAAACAAAAACCGATGTGCACAACTTCAGTGCTTCTATTATTTGAATTCGGTAGAATTTCTACTCCAGCTTTTGTAGTCTCTGAGCCTTTGTCTGGAAATGAAGCCTACTAAATTTTCATTTAAAGGGAGATAACCCAAAAGCGGAAGTGAATTTTTGAAATGTTTGACAGCATTCTGATAGAGTTTTGTAACGTCTATAAACCCTGCAAATTTGAGCAAAATCCGTTGAGAAATGAGCAAGATATGAGGTCTCAAAGTTGGCGTCTAGGAAAAAAAAAAAGAATAATAAGAATAATCTTAACCATCAGAATCAGTAGAAGGTCTTCCGTTGGAAACGGAAGACCTTAATTATTTATAGCACATTTCCTGAGACGATTTTATTAACTGAGACATATCTGACTGAAGCAGCCCCCCTAAAGAGCCTGTCAACAGGCGTGATATAGACATTATATAGACATAATGTAAAGGTCGGTGAAGGTACACAATGTTGAAAATAGGAAAGTATAAGGTCACCGCCGACTCTTTGCATAACTTACAAATGTATGACACATGTTTTTGTTGCCATACTTTTTTAAGTCTTGTTCAAGAAATAGTAAAAATCGAATAAAACATTTAAGAGACGAGTGGTAATGTTTTTCAATATTTATGTCCGTCAATAAGACTACTTCATTTTATGTTTATCCGACACATGTGTGCAAGTATGATTTTAAAAGAAGAAAAATACATGTTTAAAACAATACATGTAAGTTTTAGGTCAAATTATAGGACATTTTAGTTATTCATAGTATTTTTTTTTATTGATAACTGGCTTTCTCATATAAAATGGCTTTCTACCGAGACTCCATTGTTCCAATCGCTTGTAAATTGACTTTACAGAAATCTGTTCAAAAACATTCAATACTGAAAAGTGTTAAATTCTTGTTATGATCTACGTTTTCCGTAGTGATATCTCTTAAATGTACTGAAATATTACAGGATCAATTTATATTCAGTAGTTCTATTAACCTTTGCTTCATTGAGATTGTAATTATCATTAATTTTCATTAATTAATAATGTTAATGCAAATCAAGATCTTTATTACTTAGTCCAAACATTTATCAGTGTAACACGGTGGCGTGATACAATATGTGTACAAATTTCTAAGAAATGAAATGGGCACTTGTTTATAAAACAAGAAACAAAACGTTTAACTTATTCACCGTGAAATCATTTAAGATGGGTAAATTACCAAACATTCTGACTGTAGACAATAGGTTCTCTTTGAAATCTTGCATTTAATATATTCTAAATGTTATAAATAATAGTCTGTCTTTATGTGTTCAGAACCATATATGATCATGTAAAACAGATTGTTTGAGACTTAATGGGTGATGATACAGCATTGTCAATATGATTTCTAAAAATGATGTAAACAAAATGCAGTCTTGGAGAAAGTTTTCAAAATAAAAGGTTCAGATAAACAGTAATCACTTCTGCGATGAAATGTATTTTAGGAAGCTAACATTTTTATTCAATTTACGTATCGTGATGATTGAAAAATGGTTATCTATTTTTATTTAAAAGGGGTATTAGAGCACGACTTTAACTAAAATCTATTCTACATGACATTAAATGGGGGGATGCAGGACACTACTTTGTACATTATATACTGTATGCATATGAATACATGTCTCCTCTATGATATACTTGTTACTTAAGTGTTAATTGCATTCGTTTTTTTTTTTTAATTTTTTCATTTTAGTTGTTTTGTCTATGTCATTTTTTTTAAAATCTTATCAAGTTCTTACCTGAATGTGTGACAATTATTAGTATTTCCAATAAACACTTTGAAACCATGATGTTATTCTTAATACTCGTAAACTTCGGTTGACAAAGGTCGACTGTCTTCACAGATGTTCGTTATGCCGTTTGACTGGGGCTTCTCTAAGGGAAACCCTAAGGGGAAAAAAGTATTATTAATATTATGTCCTCGAATGATCAATCAGACCATTTTAAAAACTTGTATTGCAGCATTTTATTTAAAATAGTATTATTTAAAAAGAACGAAGTTGTTAAAAATTTTAATTGTGTGAGTATGTGTGCGATTTTATTGTTTTATCACCCCCGATAGAAGTCAGGGGACCTAACTGTTATTGTTCCGCCTACAATTTTGTCCTCCGGAGTTTTCGCAGATAGCTTGAATTTTAAAGCAAGTTTTCTTGTGCATGCAACATGTATTTGCCATGGAAACAGAAGGAAAATAGAAATTTATTTTTATATGAAGTTTCAAGTATTTCTTCGTTTTTTTCTGATCAGAGGCATTAAAACATCCCGCGCCCGTGAAATGGCTTAGACCACTGTTGAACGGTTCATTACGTAACTATAACAACAGTTTAGAAAGAAAAACTTGCTCAAAAGTTGTGCACTTAACCAAGAGTTTGGGAGAGAGAAAGTAAGGTCAAGAGAAATCACTAACTGGTTAAGATTTTCAAAAAAGATATAGAACACTGCAGTTATACTACCTTTAGACTATAGGGGAAATTTGATTTTACCTACCTCATTCAAGATGCTGGTCGTCGTGCAAATGTCGCTGATTATTAGCTGATTATAAAGATTACATAATCTTAATGCTTCTTCAATGCTCTGTGTGCCTGAGCTAACACTCTCTCGAGTCTGTATTACATAAAGACTCTTAAAAATGTATACACACATCTATACAGAAAAACATTATAACAGCGAACGTATTGCGTTTTACAGATGGAGGAGAACGTCATATGGTGTGTATTCTAACGTTGTCCAAGGTCTATTGCGTGCAATCATAAGTGGGGATTTCCGGAGAGGGGGGAGTGATGTTTTATTAAATTCCAAAGTTGTTTTAATTAAAATCATTGAATGAAAGCATAATCAAATAACCTTTCCTTTTATTTCACACCATATTAAGATTAAATTTATGGTGTATTGACAAACATGTGCAAATTATACATACATTTACTTTGTGATCCCACACCACAAGACCCAGAAATTCATTTGTGGGCCCCAATGCTTCACACTTTGGAAACAGAACATGATTCTACAACATACATTTTTAATTACACAATTTCATTCCATGTATGTTAATTACTGTAAAATTCTATTAATCAGCAAACGTTCGAGAAGAGGTACATGTAAGAAGGTGCACATGAAAACAGAACAATTGCTTCTTTTTCGTACAACATTGCCATGAAGTCCGTAGACATTGTTACAGACGTCAAAGTACCTTAAGTATACTAGTAGATAGATTTGAAAAACATAAGCACTAAATAAAATCTCGTTTACCTTTCATTCAACTTTATTTCATTTTCATTTAATCATCATGTTTTAAAAAAACAAGCATGTATTAAACAGTGTTCCAAAGTGTTCCAATTTTTTTTCTCTCTTACTAAAAATATATGTTACCGGAAAAATAAATTGAAACTACATGTAATATACTCAGTAAACTTTAAAGCTCTGTATGCAATAATCTTTCATATTATTTATTCATTTAAGTTAAATGGGAAAATAAAACAATGAAACATTTATTAATTGGTAAATAAATTATTTATCTATTTATCTTCTATGTAATTTTAATATTTTGGAAATAGTTTGTTATTTGAATTCGTTGATTTCCAACAAAATGATTTTTTTTTTTTTTTTTTTTTTTGGAAAGAATTTCAAAAATTTTAAGCAGTTTTTAATCAGGAAATCACAAGGATTTGTTTAAAATGTAACTCACATAACAATATCTCACCTTCAACTTCGATCCTCCCTGCACTGCAATGTACTGATGCTTTAAACAATATTCGCGGCGTGCACGCGTGGACAACCTAGTCGAATTATGTAAGCGCCAACAAAGTTAATTTGCTATCTTTGAGACGCTTCTGAAGTATCATCACTGACTGTGTGATGAGAAATCTTGGGATTGAAATCTTGGTCACGTTTTGAAAACAAGTTATCAAAGATTACATATCTCACCTCAAGGGATGTCATCTTTAAGTGGGACAAAGTTCCATAATAATTAGATTTTCTGGTACTGAGCATCCTAAAGATGCAACATTTATGCAAGTTTGGTCTTAGTAGGATTTTATTTATTTGGGAATGGACTTGTTCCGAAAACTTTTTTTTCTGTTCAACCACCCGATAAAGTAAAAACAAGATTCGGCATCCGAATCAAGTCTGGTAGTGTGCATACCTAGATGCATCACCCATGCAAGTTTGTCGAGATAGGGCTTATATAGTAATGGTAAATGAATCTGCACTAAAAAATTAACCTGGTCATTCATTCGGAATATCACGACAAATCCAGCATCTGATACAAGTCTGATAGTATGCATTCCCAGATGTATCATCCATGCAAGTTTGTCGAAATAGGGCTTTTTAGTTACTTGTGAATGGACCTGCTATAAAAACTTTAACCCAACAGGTTAGATCATCTGGAAATTTTAGGTCAAACCCAGGCCCATGGATCTTGAAGCTTCTTAAGTTTTAGTCAAAAAATGTATATGGCATTGAAATTATTTAGAAGTTAAGCAGTCCATGATGAAAATGATTTCCAATTTTGCATCATCAATCTGCTGTCATAAGCAAATTTAGAGTTTCATTTAACGAATTTCAAACATTTCATTGTTCATTGAAATGTTGACTTAAGTCTAAGTCTGTTTCATGATTCTAGGGCCAGAATCAAAAGCAAGCCAAGTAAAATGCATCTCTAAATGCATCATCCATGCAAGTTTAGTCATCATGAGGCTTATAGTTATTTAGGAATTGACCTTGTCAAAAAAAGTTTACCTGGTCACTCATCCGAAAAATGTTGGTCAGATCCGGTATCCGAAGAAAATCTGGTAGCGTGCATCCCTAGATGTATCATCCATGCTAGTTATCTAGGTACAGCTTAAAATTACACAAATAATTTGTCCAAAGCTTACAGTTACTTTAAAATTAGCCTGCTCCAAAATCTTGAACCTCGTCAATCATCCGGAAAATGTAGGCAAAATCCAGCACCCGAAGCAAGTCTGGTGGTATGCATCCCTTGATGTATCATTCATACAAGTTTGTCAAAATAGGACTTCTAGTTACCTAAGATAAAGACCTGCTCCAAAAACTTTTAACCTGCTCAAAAACCTTAACCTGCTCAAATAGCACAAACTTGGTCAATTTTCTGGAAAATGTTGGCTGAATGTGTAGCATCTGAACCTGACTGTTACAATGAAACATACTAGTACTAGGTGCATCAGAAATGTATCACTGATAATTATAGGGCAAAAAAAAGTACTTGAAAAGAAATCTGCTCTAAATTCTTTAACCTTGGACGATGACGCCGAAGCTGAGGGTATTACATAAGCTCCCCAACTTAGTTGAGCTAAAGATTATATGCCGTCATTTTAGAGACGTTCGGAAACATCATCGACTCTGATGCTGAGGAATCGCGCGACTTATATCGTGGCTACGTTATAAACACTTGGCAGTTTTCAACTTATGATGCTGAAGCAACGATCGTATGATTTTTAATAAGACTAGGCCAGAATATCAATCTTAAATTAGGGGTAATTTTCAACCCTTAAATTCCCTGACTATCAATTTTGACTAGGTCAAAAAGATCAGACTTGTCCATGATTGCAATTTAGACCTAGCCAAAATTGTCTTTCTCGAGCCATGATTTTGTAAAGTGAACATGACATGAATATGTTTAGGGATGAAGCATGATTCTATACAAAATAACTAGGCGTCCCTTGTGACTTTCCTTCATGTACAAATGTCTTCCATCTGTTAACATTTTTGTGATATCTGATTTGAACGTTGGTTTTCTTTCACACACCCCTACTAATGTTATTGTGATTTAATTCAAGACACGTGGTATTGTTTGACCCATTCAAGGTGGAACCAGTTTTATAAATAAAAAATGGCATAAACAGAAAATCAGTAAAGTATGCTGTTCTACTATTTTAGTGGCTAATAAAAGAGTATTTTTCCCCCTTTTTTACAATACAATAATCGTAAACACCTTCGTCTTTTGTCTTGGGCCAGGGAGTCCGCCCAGTCAGTTGACGCTTGCATTCACCGATGGTACAAGAAAGGAATATAGACGCAAATCTTAAGGAGAGAAAATTAATACCTTAATATATTTAATTTGTGTGTGTATGTGTATCTGAACATTGAAATTGTAAGTTAATATAATGGGCTTTTTTCATTTGTGAAATGCATGAAAAAAATAATTATGTTTTAATTTTCGAGAGAGACTACAAAAATTTCTTCTATTTTAAGAGTAAAATTCCTGTAGTATTTGTAGTAACCCATAATGCAATTCAAATCATTTAGCTGATCTATTGACTTATAAATCACTTTGGTACCTCATTTAGCATGTAAATTTAGTAGGGATGGCAATCGAATACAGAACTGCTAATCGATTAACCGCAAGACGTTCCGACCGATCAACCGGTCAATCGTATCAAACTACACATTTTCTTGACTTTTTTTTAAGTAGCTCTATACCTGTGTACAAGAAGACTTTAAAAAAAGATATTAGAAGTTAAAAACATTCTATTTGTCTTTATTCTTGATCAGAAAACCACGTGCATATATTTCTTTTTTTCAATAGATAAGAAAAAATTCAAAAAACCATGAAACATGCTTGAGAAATCGTGGATAATTTTCTAAAAGGGCCCTGTCACACCAAGCTGCGTCCACACGGAGTTATTACGGCGTTGTTAAATATTTAAAATCGCAATGGAATCGCAGGGAAATTGTACAAATTTCCGAAAAATTTTCACACGGCGTCCCTACTGCGACCCACGCATTTCTACGGCGTTCTCGCGGCGTGCTACTGCGTTCCCACGGAGATCTCTTCGCGATTGACTGCGCTTCCGCGGAGCTTTCACGGCGTGTTAGGAGTTGTAACCTCAAGTTCACGGCGTTCTCACTGCGCTGGCTGCGTTCACAATACGTTCACAATGCGTTCTTCACCATGGATATACATTCAGAAGGAGTGTAACACATATTTTTTAAAGATTCAAGTTACATGGTGAAAAGACTTCTGCTTATGCCAAGAAATATTCTTTAATTAAAAACGATCTATTTGAATAATTTAGTACTAAATTACTGATAGTTTTATATTAAAACCCTTCTATTTTAATTATATCAATTCAGATGTCTTTTTGTCTTTTCTTTGATTTTATTATGAATGTAAAAAAAAATAAACACACTGAGAAGTTATAAAACTTTAAGTAATTCCACCGCAACTCCACTAAAACAACAGAACAAGTTCTGGTGTAATTTTTACTCCCAACTTCTACTTCCATGCTCCTGGTCAGGAGTGCAACAAATACGTTAGAATTATTGCTGATCAAATATGAGGCCATTGCTTTTGTTTTGTGAGCTGGCTGACAACGCTCTAAAAACGGCGTGAAAGCGCATTGCGATCGCTAACGGACGCGGTAGAAACGCCAAGGGAGCGCAGTGATTGCAGTGACAACTCGTTGTTGTCGCGGTGTAATCGCAGTCAAAAAAAATCACAAGACGATTAATCTCATTAGAAGCGTCGTAAAAGCGCGATAGAAACGCAGTGACATCTCCAAGGACTCCGCAAAATCGTCTACTATCACTGCGTTCATGCTACGATCATGTGCGTCTTGACGGCGTGCGTACGGAGCTCACACTGCGTTGTTGGAGATTTCACTGCGCTGCTACGGCGATCATACTACGTTTCTACTGCGTTCTTATCAGATCGCGATCACACGGCGCGTACTTTGACCATGCCCAAAGTGTGCGCAGTCCCCTGGCGTTCTAGTAGACCCTATGCGACCCTACCGCGTTCAGTGGAGATCTCGCCGCGTTGTCACGGTGTTGTAGGAGACTCTGCTGCGCTCACCACGGCGTTTTGAATTTTTTATGGACGCCGTGCGATCGCTGTGAGGATGCAGTCCCGGTGTAACAGGGGTTTAAGCGGATGTCACACAAGTTCATTCATCATTGTCACCATAATCAAAACTAAGTCTTAACTGTATCACTTAATTTACAATGTTGTTTAATAATTTAGTTTGATAGATAACTGCAAAAGATGCACACACA